GCGTATATTAAATATTTAAATTATTTTATATTATCTAGCTTAATTTAAATATTAATAAATAACGCGTTTTCTCTTTAATTTTAAAGATTTAAGTTTAAGCGAATTATATTTATTAAGCGTTATTATCTAATACGATTTTATTACTTTTATAATATTTATAATTATTATTATAACTCGTATAGATTAAAAGATAAGATATTTAAAAAAGTAAGTTAATAAATAATTATCTTTATCTAATTTAATTAAAATAATATATAATATATATTCTCTTTATTACTAACTTCGATATTTATTAAAATTAATATATTTTTTAATAAAATAAGTATTAATTAAAATTAAGTATAGTTTAATATTTATAAATATTTATATAAACTCTTTAATTTCTTTATATATATATATTAATTTATTTTTTTATAGTAATTAAAGTAGAAGATATTAAGTTTAATAATTTATTATAATAAATATTAAATATTAATAATAATAACGATATTAAAGAGTTTTAATATAAGTTAATTAAGCGATAATTAGATTTTTAATTAAAATAAAAAGCGAAAGATAAATTTAATAAAAATAAAAATATTAAGAGATTATAATAGCGAATAGATATATTTATATTTAAGAAGAAATTAATTAAAAAAGTAAAAAAGATTGATATCTTAATTATTAATTATATTATAATCTATAATAAGTATAAAGCTAGATATATTAATATATTATAATAAAAATAAAAATAAGCTTTTAAGAAGATTAGATAAAATATAATAAATAAGTAATAAATAATTTTTAATTCTAATTATTATTCTAATAGACTTATTTTTTAATAATATTATATAAAAAATATATATAAGCGTAATTTAGAGAAAGTCTAAAGTTTCGCTTTTTATATAAATTATTATATATATAAATAAAGATAAGAGTTTAGATTATAAAAATATAGATAATATTAAAATTAAATAAAATATAAAGTATTAAAAATAATTCTATTATACGCGTTAATAATTAAATAAACTTTATTTTTTAAACTATTTAAAAACGCGATATAAAATTTAATAATAAATTTTATTATAATTTAAATATAATAGTATTAACGCGTTAGCTAATAAGTATTAAGCTATTATAAAAATTTTAAAATATTAAATATAATTATATTTAGAAAATAAAATTATAAATCTTTATTTATATATAATTAATTTAATATATAATAATAAAAAGTCTATTATAAAAGCTACGCTATTTAAGTTAATACTTTAATCTTAATTATTACTTTTATTATTATATAAATAATATAAAACTATCTTTTATTTAAGTATATTTAATTCTTAATTTTAATTATTATTATAAATATTATTAATTCGTTCTAGAATTATTAAATATACTTTTATATACTTTTTATATCTTATCTTTTTTTTAATTAGATAGCGATTAAATTTTAAATTAAAATAAATACTTAGAAGAGGAAAGTTTATAAATACTTAATTATATAATTTTATTTCTTTTATATTTTTTATAATTATTAAGATAATTAATAATATATAATTATATTTTATAATTAATTTTATAATAATTAACTAATTTAGTAGCTAAATTATATAAAAATAAATATATTTTTATTTTTAATTTAAATAACTTAGTTAAAATAATTATAAAATTTAAATTCTTTTTTTATAATATAACTCGCTTTTTATATATTATATAAAGATAAATATTTATTTAAATAAGAATTATTAGAGCTAATTATAAAGTATAATAATAAAAAAATTATTTTTAAATTAATAAATTAGAAAGACTTCTATTATTTTATATAATATTTTAAAAGCGAATCTTTAAATATAATAGTATTTTAATAGATTTTAATTAAATATAATTTAACGAATTAAATATTAAAAGAAAAGCTTTAAAATTATAAGATTAATTAATTTTTAATAATAATAAATCTCGCGTAAAGCTCGAGCTATAGCTCGCGTTAATTATATATAATAAATATAATAATAATTAAAAAAACGTATTATCTAATTTTTATTAACGCTTTAATATTATTAAAATAAAGATAATATTTATTAAAATAAAGATAATATTTATTAAAATAATAGCGATAGTAATTAAAGCGATAATAATATCTAATAAACTCTTTATTTTAATATTATATTTAATACTCTAGAATAATATTAACTTTTTCGAAAAGCTATTAATAATAAATTAAGTATATATAAATTAAGCTCTTCGTATAATTTATTTATATATTAATTTAAAGTTATTAAAAAATAAAAAATAAATATATAATTTAATAACTATATTATACTTTTAATATTACTATAATAATATTAAATTATTTAAATAGAAGTTTAATATATAAAGAAGATAGTTTAATAATAAGAAGAATTAATATAAAAAAAAAAGTTTTTAGAGAGAAGAAAGAGAGAAGAAAAGCTTAGATATCTATCGCGTATATTAAATTTTTAAATTACTTTATATTATCTAATTTAAATTAAATATTAATAAAAAAAAAAATTTTTAATTTTAAAGATTTAAGTTTAAATAAATTATATTTATTAAGCGCTATTATCTAATATAATCTTAACTACTTTTATAATAATTATAATTATTATTATAATTTATATAAATTAAAAAATAAAAGATTTAAAAGAGCGAGCTAATAAATAATTATTTTTATCTAATTTAACTAGCGCTAAATTATTATAACTTATTAAAATTTTTATATATTTTATTTTTACTTTTTTATCTTTAAGTCTTACTATCTTTATAAAAATAATTATTTTTTAAATTAAATTTCGTAATAATATATTTAAAATAGCGTATAATATATATTCTCTTTATTTTTAATATCGATACTTATTAGAATTAACGCACTTTTTAATAAAATAAGCTCTAATTAAAATTAAGAATAGCTTAATATTTATAAATATTCATATAAACTCTTTAATTCTTTTATATATATTTATTAATTTATTTTTTTATAATAATTAAAATAGAAAAGATTAAGTCTAATAATTTATTATAATAAATATTAAATATTAATAATAATAGCGATATTAAAGAATTTTAATATAAATTAATTAAGCGATATTTAAATTCTTAATTAAAATAAAAAATAGAGAATAAATTTAATTAAAATAAAAATATTAAGAGATCGCGATAGCGAATAAATATATTTATATTTAAAAAGAAATTAATTAAAAAAGTAAAGAAAGTTAATATCTTAATTATTAATTATATTATAATTATTAAAAAGTATAAAATTAAATATATTAATATATTATTATTATAATAAAAGTAAATTTTTAAATAAATTAAATAAGATGAAATAGATAAATAATAAATAATTTTTAATTCTAATTATTATTTTAATAAATTTATATTTTAATAATATTATATAAGAAAAGTATATAAGCGTAATTATAAAGAAGTTTAGAGTTTCGCTTATTATATAAATTATTATATATATAAATAAAGATAAAAGCTTAAATTAAAAGAAAATAAATAATATCGAAATTAAATAAAATATAAGTATTAAGAATAATTTTATTATACGCGTTAATAATTAAATAAATCTTATTTTTTAAGCTATTTAAGAGTATAATATAGAATTTAATAATAAGTGTTATTATAATTTAAATATAATAATATTAACGCGCTAGCTAATAAATATTAAACTATTATAAAAATCTTAAAATATTAAATATAATTATATCTAAAAAATAAAATTATAGATCTTTATTTATATATAATTAATTTAATATATAATAATAAAAAGTTTACTATAAAAGCTACGCTATTTAAATTAATATTTTAATCTTAATTATTATTATTACTATTATACGAGTAACGTAAAGTTATCTCTTATTCGAGTATATCTAATTCTTAATTTTAATTATTATTATAGATATTATTAATTTATTCTAGAATTATTAAATATATTTTTATATACTTTTTATATCTAATCTTTTTTTTATATATCGCGAGAAGACGACTTAAAGAAATATAACTTATTATATTAAACTACGATACTTTTAAAAGAATATTAAAAAAATATATTAATTTTTCTAAATCGACAATTTAATAAAAAGATTATAATTATAATATATATAATTTTATATTAAATAGCGATATCGAAAATACGTAATAGATATATAAAATTATTATTAACGGCTTTAATTATAAAGTATTAATAGATTTTATATAACTAATATTAAAGAAAGATAAAATTTTCTTATTATTAATAGATATAGCTTACTTTCTTTTATATATATAAAGTAATAAAATATAATTATATTTAATTCTATATTTTATTAATTTAGCGTAATTATTAATTAGAATAATAATTAGAATAATTACTTCTAAATATAGAAATTCTAATTAAGATATCTTATATATATACTATTTTATAATATAATATTATAAATATACTATATTATAAGATATTCTATTAAGATTCTATATTATATTAGATATAAAATTATATAAATCTTAATAATCTATATTATACTAGAGTATAGTATAGTAGGTCAATATCTTATATCATATTATACCTTTCCGGCCAGTACATACGTTGTATGGTCGAGGTTGTCCCAGCGTACGCGTAGACGCGAAGGACTTTAAGCCAACGTCTTAGGGTTAGTGTCGACCAGTGCTACTCTTCTCCTACCCTCAACTTTATTACTTGTGAAAGAAGAAATCAGAAAATTTCATCTTTCATTATATGAATTTTTAACAGGCTGACATCTTATCATGTCTTCGTATTCTTTCATATATTCTAATAGAATCTATTAGAATAAAATATTTTATAGAATTTATTATATCTTTTCAAGGCGTAAAATTAGTTAATTAGAGCTAAATATTTCTAGATCTTAATAGACGAGAAAACTTCTTCTTCTTCTTCTTCTTCTTCTAGCTAGGCGATATAGATGCAATAGAGTCATTCAATGAGATCACAGCCCCGTCCATATATTTCAACAACCTTTCCCACAGACAGTGATTCGCTCTTAAGCAATGATCAGCCATCCCCGTTGTAATTGTCCTTCTGCGAACGAGGGCCTGAGAGGTGGCACTGAATTGCTATATGCGGCCGTTGAACCACCTGCTTCTGGCAGATAGTTCGCTTCTGTGTCCGCTTCAAACCCCAACGCGGCCTTGATGCACTGGATCAGAGGGGTCGTTCTTTGCCTCATGAAAATGATTTGTTCGGGCCTTCTTCCTGCCAGGAAAAATCTGAGTGATTCATTTCCGTAGGTGCTACCAATGTACCTTATCGGCATCGAGGGCTGGTGCACGATGACTCCATCCGCGCTTGTCCAACAAATGGTCTGCCATATACCCCTTTGCAGCCACAATCTCGCCAGTTGCTCCTCAGCAAAGGCAGGCAGCTCACATTCCAAGACTTGTCTGGCGGTCGCGGCTGCGGAGATGGACGAGATCCAGTCAATCATAGTACGTCGAGAATCCTGCTGGCGTAAGTAGGTTATAATTGTCAATGTTTTGCCGGTAGCACTGATCAGACACTCGACTTCGGTGTTGTTCTCGTCTTGCTGCGGTTCAAGTCCAGGATATGTTCCGTCAAATATCTGGAGTCTTGCGTTCGTAGCATCCTCTGCCTTTCCTGCACAATTTTGTAGTTCTACAGAGCTCAAGCGGTCGAAGGGAAAGCCCCCTGTACCCAAGTCCCCTTCGCCCCAGCGGATGGAGCCAGGTAGTATGGAAACCGCAACGCAATCTGAAGGTCGGGTTGAAATTTTTCCCAAGGGAGCTATGTACGCTACAAGGCCGTTCATTCCGAAGATCAGATCACGGTTCCCAACATTGCCAGTCGAGCAAGGAATCAGAGATTCCATGGTGCGCAAACGCAGCTCGGTCATGGTCAGATCGTTCATGCTGTTCAGATTGGACAAAGTTATTGGGGGCTCGCATTTGCGAAGAGTAGCACTTAAAATGCCGCTGAACAGGAGATGCATAACGTTCAGCGCGTTGTCTGCGACGACAGCGAATCGGCATCCACGAAAAGTTCGGTAGGCCGGAAGCGTATCGCAGATAGAAGAGTAGATGCACTCTGCCGCTAAGTGAAGGCCAGGCTCGATGATCTTTCTTTCGTATTGACATTCTATTTTGAGCGATCCTGGTCGAGTCCGTCGCCAGTCTTCGATCTTAGTCATGACCCAAGTCAGTTGAGTCATAGGCTCTTGAAACAGTGGATGTCCCTTTCGCTGGCGGACTTGTCCGACATTTGGACAAGACTTCTCGATCCATTCAACGATGTCCTCGGATAAGCCTTGCGCTTTCTGAACGAACGTCTGATTGCAGCCCCACCCATACACTTTCATGAAGGTTGAGGCCTGGGAAAGATAACCCTGCTGACATATGTGTTTGAGAGGCACGAATTGCGGTTCCATGCCAAATTCCGTGTCAGACTTTATGACGGCAGTCTCGATGCTTGCAATGACCAATGCTTCTGCAATTATACCCACTTCTTCTGTTTCATCTTCCTCTAAGTCGTATTGGGCTGCGAGGATAGACCGCGCTCCTGAAGCGGGGAAAAAGTCGAGCGTCGACGTGGCAGTGTTATAGTTTTCTTCGCATTGTACGATGATAGACGGTAACACTCTTTCTTCCTGCCACTCTTGCATTGTCCAAGTCCCAATGATAGATGAAGCGGCAGTGCTACAAATATCGACACTCACCTTACCCCCAGTGACGCCCAATGCCAGCTTTCCATCTACCGTCAGCTCGAAGGGTTCCGCAAGTAACCAAAGAATTGAAGAGGCTATCAATGCTCCCCCTACAAGGCCTTTTATTGTGAGGCGTTGTGTTTCTACTTTTCGCAGCGCCTCGAATGTTCTAGTAAAGATCTCTGCAATCACCTTTGGGTCAGGCTCCCACGAAGCTTTCGCGCACTGGTCACGGCGTGCAATGTTCTGTAGAATCACGGTAGAAACATGTTCAAAGCTATTCCCGGGTACAATCCCGTCGGAAAACCCAGATATTGACGAGATGAGGGTTGCCATGCTTGACCTCGATACTGGCACTTTGCGCAAAAGATCTTGCTGGCAAAGCATCTCATAGAGGACATTGCCTATGGCCTGGTCTGGGAGGCAGGTCTTCATAGCAGTCACCAGGAGGAAAGCAGGAACACATTGCGGAGCCCTCCTTCGAATCAACTGACTCACACCGCCGGTGAACAGTCCCACGATGACCTTGACAATTTTGAGACTCTGGGAACGGTCCCGGCTTTGTAAAGCGTCGAGTCCTTCATCAATCCTGTCTGGAGAAGGTAGGATTGCGGACCCAAGAGCCTCAAAGGCTATCACAGCCTGACTCTGTACGTCATCTTGAGCTGCAGCCTGGACTAAGTCAAGGAGACTTCCTGCGGTCTTGAAGACCGTTTTATCAAGAGACCATTGAAGTTGGATGCTTCTGCTATTGGCCATATTGGCGATCTACGCTCTCTTGAGTTTGATGTAGAGTGAGGGTCAAGCAGTAAGAGCAAGGCGCCCGATGGTCCGGATTATCTATTAGCGTGTGCAGAAAACGTTAGAATACTTGGCACTCAGAAAATCGCACACATATTATTAAAAGTAGTACTGAATAGCTGAATCTATCAAAATATGAAGATAGAACACTTAGTTATATTAACTATAGAGTTCTATAAAAGGAAAGAGCAACTTGACATAGGCGCGCTAAGGCGTATCATGTAACGTAATTATGTAACCGCCAAGACGCCAAGAGTTATATAATCCGTATTTTAACACTCTTTTTTATATATATTCTTTTATAAGCGAAACTTAGTAGTTATAAAGTTTAATACTAACGGTATCAAAATCGAGTAGGTAAGATAAAGTGATTAGCGTCGGGTAGTAAAAATGAAATCAATATCGAGTAGCTAAAGTGAGTTAGCGCCGGGTAGCCAATGTAAAATTACACTCTCTCTACCCCTACCCCCTATGTGAATAAAATTAAAAAATATGAGATTTAAGATTCGCGATGTTTAAAATAGAATAGATAAAGTAAAAAGTCGAAATCTAAAAATAACTATATTAAACTATAGCCCCTACTCAAATATAACTTAAATTCCACTTTTTATTAAAAAGCGGTTTTTTGAAATTTTTATTTTTAGATTATCTAATATATATTAAAAATCGATTAATTTAAGATCGAAGAATATATATGAGGGTAACTAAATAAAATAATTAAAAGAAATTCTTCTAGCTATATATCGCCGGCTATAAGATCTCTATAAGAGTTATTTTAAATATCTAGTTCTTAGTAATAGTAGCTGCGATAGCGGTAATTTAAAGATATAATATCTAAGATATTAATAATGAATAGATATAAGTCTCTTGAAAGAGCTTTAGAAGTTTTAATAACGATAGTAGTAATAGCGCTAAAGAAATAACTATTTCGATATAAAATAGCGAGTTTACTAAGTATTAAGTCTAATATAATAACTTGGCGAGTAATTTAAGATAATTATCTATAATATTAAGATTAATAAAATAGCTTTTTTAAAGTAGATAACTTCTCTATATTAAGACTATTAAGCTATAATTATAAACGATATTTTAATTTAATAAATTAACGAAAACTCTTAAATTTATTTTTATAGAGAGTCTTAATAAGATCGTTAGCTATCTATCGATTAATAGAGATATAATCTAAAGCGATATTTTTAATAGTAACTTATTCTTATATATAGTAATACTAAATATTAATATATTTAATATAGATATAAAATTAAAGATTTTTAGCTAATACTATAACGCCTTAATTATCGTAAAAAATAATTATCGCTTATATTTATTTATTACTAAAATTAAGCTAATTTAATAAATCGCGTAATTAAATTACTTTTTTAATAACTTATATTTAATCGATATATTTAACCTTATAAATTGAGAGTATTATAATAAGTTATTACTTCGATAATTAACTAATAATCTTATTATTAACGTTAAATATATACCTAAATATAGAGTAATAAGTATCTTAATTACTAACTTAATTAACGTCGATATAATTACTTAGAGATTTTAAATCTCTTCTAAAAATAAGTTAATAGTTAACGATTTATTTAAAATAGCGAAAAATCCGCTTAATCGCTTTTTAATAAGCTTCGTTAGAATTTAAGCTATATCGAAATATTACTAAGATCGCGAATATAATATCTAATCTCGTATTAAGTATTATATATATTAATAATTCTATTATTAATTAATACTCGATATAAAAGACTTCGAAGATCTAAAAGTTCTCTTCAAATATCTAATATCTTTCGATATTTATAAAAGTAAATATATCTTTAAATTCCTATATATTATACTTAATAAGAAACTTTTTAATATATTCTATTTAATTAAGTTAAATAATATAATTAGTATAATTTCTAATAATAGTTATATCTAGATAATAGGCGTATAGCTCTAAATTAATTATTTCGAAATAACTACTAAGCTTATCTTTAATATTTTAAATTTCTATTTTATTAAGGCTAGCTAAAAGGATATTATCTATATAGATTATAATAATTATAATATTATTAATAAAGATCGAGAAATTAGCTATAATAAGTTTAAAGCTTAATTTCTTTAAATATATAAAGAGGGTATTATATTAGATTTTTAAAGATTACTTTAAATCGTATAGCGCCTTCTTTAATTTATATATCTTATACTTATTATTAATCTTAAAGTCTATAAACTATATTATATAGATAATTTCCTTTATATTACTATAGAAAAAAGCGATTTTAATATTTATTTACTTTAATTCTTAATTAAAAGCTATTATTAAAGTAAAGATTATTTTATAGCTTATAAACTTAATTACGAAGGCGAAAGTCTTATTAAAATCCACGTCTTTACGCTATTTAAAATTACGAATTATCTATTAAGCTTTATATTATATAATCTCTTTTATAGAGCCTCGCTTAAGTTTATAAATCTATTTATTATCTAGAATATATATATTTAAAAATAGATTTATTAAGATTTAAGTATTATTAGCTATAAGAGAGTTAACTTCTTTCTATATAGTAAGTTTTTATTTTATTTTTTAATATTTATTCGCTATTATCTCTTAATAGATTTAGAGTTTAAATAGTTTAAGAGTATTAACTTTAATTAAAAGAGTAAATAAATTTAATAAAAGATTACGATAAGTTTTAAAAATTTTATATCGTCTAGATTACTTTAAAAAAGATTATTAATTAATTCTAGATCTAATTATAAATCTTATTAAGACTTATATTAAAGACGTCGATACTATCGAAATAAATTCTATAAGTATATTTTCGCTTAGAGTTTTAAGTAATTTTAACTCTATTCTCTTTAAATATATCTATAATAATATTTATAACGATATCTATAGCGAAGGTATCTACGAAGATATTTCTTTAATAAAGATTCGTATAATAATAATAAATTCTCTTTTAACGGCTTTAGCTAAGATAATTATTACTTCGATAAATATTTTTTATCTTATTCTTTTTAAGACTTTCTTCTTTAAAATTAATATTAAAGAAGCGGCTAATAGCTCGCGTATAGCTTTTTCTAGCGTATTTATATAATATTTATTTCTATTTTTAGATAGGTTTTAATTATTAATCTTTCTTTCTCTAGTAAAATTAAGCTTAAATAGAGTAAGCTTAGAAGAAATATTATTAATTTAAATTATATTTAAATAAATCTAAATTTTATTATTTAATATTAATATATAATAAAACTAATTAGCTTTATAGTTAACTAAGCGTTCTTTATAGATATAATTCTTATATTTAATTTAATTAATATTTAATAGATATATTTAATAGAAATTAGTTTATTCGATAATTTAAAGGTGTAAAATATTAGATAAATAGTCTATAGAGGTCTTATAAAGAGTAATATCTCTTCTTAATATTAATTATAAATTGCGTAGATAATTAGAAGCCCGTATGAATTTCGACTAATATTTTTATAATAGTTTACTCTCTTTAAGTATAGCGCTAGCCTTACGTTATATTATTTAATTAAGATATTTAAATTTATTATTTATTTAAAGATTATTAGATATAATATCTTTCTAGATAATTTCTTTAATAAGTCGAAAAGTATATATATTATAGTTATTATACTCGAAATTATAGTCGCTACGAAATCTAATATAAATATAATTTCTATATTTAATTTAATTTAGAAAAGACTTAAACGTTGTAAGAATTATAAGATTGTTCTTATTAGAAAGTAAGAATATAGCGAAACGAAGCGTTTTATTATTTAGAAAGATTACTATTTATTTATAACTATTATAAAAAATAGAGAAAGATTTTTAGAGATTATTATAAATTAGATTATTCTTTTAATAATTTAGCGTTATATAACGCTTATATAATTTAACTTTTATATTAATAATACTATATAATTTATACGCGTTCTTAGAGAGTAAAATAGATAAATTTATTTTAATATATATTTTAGCTAATTTTTTAAGATTCTGAAATTCTAAGTAGTTATAACGAGCGTATTATATATATAAGATTTTCTTATTAATTTAAGAATTTAAGATATTAGCGAATAAGAATAAAGATTTAGATTTAGATTTAGATATAGATATAGATATAATAGATTTATTATAGATAGAGATATCTCTATTAATAATTATTAAGTATATAAGAGTTTTTATTTATATATCTAGCGTATAAAGACGATTATATTAATATCTAAAAATAATATTATACTTCTCTATTTTAATACTCTTAAATATAAGCTAAAGGAAATAGTTTTAATTTTTAAATTACTCTTAAGAAATTAGATTAAAATTATTATTAGAGATATATTAGATATCTTTTATATATAGAGTTCGTTTATCTTTAAAACTCTTATATTTAAGCTTAATACGCTTAAAATTAATAGTTATAATTAAGCTATTAACTTTATTAATTAAGCGATATAATTTAAATAAGATAAAGATTCGAAAGGTTAAGAAGTTATAATATGCTAAGTATAAGTATTATTAATAAATTATAGATACGATAGTATAACGATTATAAATATTAAAGAAGTTTAAGCTATAGTCTTTAAACCCTTTTTAATAAAGAAATAATAGACTTAATTCTATAAGAATTAAGAATTAATAATAAGATATATAATATTCTTTAGATTAGAGTTAATATATATTATAAAACTATACGCTATCGCTAGCTAAGTATACGCTATAATAATCTTAATACTATTAAATTAATAATTAATAATAAACTTATTAATTTAAGTATTTTTATTTTTATCTTTATTATTTAAGTTAGAGAAATTATTATTATTATTATCTTTATCGCTATCTTTATTATTATAACTATTATAATCTTTATAATTATCGCGATCTTCTATATTATTATTATTATTTTATTTCTTAAATTTAAGATATAGAATAGTATATTCGACGTTATTATATTAGTTTT